GGGTAAACTGTCAAAAAAATGCATTCCAGATGCAAAGAAGACAACATTCAGTGAAAAAAAATAATTCTTAAAACACACTGACATTATTTTGGCTCAATTTAATGAAAAAAGGTGTTTTCTCACTTTTTTATATTATTAATTATTAATATTATATATTGGGCATTCATAAGTGATTTCACTTAAGCCTAAACCCCTGTGGTCATAGTTTTATGTGAAATATTTGTAATAGTCTTTTAAGTACATCATTATGACTGAAGAAAATAAACCACTACTACTACTACTACTACTACTACTACTACTACTACTACTACTACTACTACCACTACCTACTACTACTACTACTACTACTACTACTACTACTACTACTACTACTACTACTACTACTACTACTACTACTACTACTACTACTACTACTACTACTACTACTACTACTACTACTACTACTACTACTACTACTACTACTACTACTACTACTACTACTACTACTACTACTACTACTACTACTACTACTACTACTACTACTACTACTACTACTACTACTACTACTACTACTACTACTACTACTACTACTACTACTACTACTACTACTACTACTACTACTACTACTACTACTACTACTACTACTACTACTACTACTACTACTACTACTACTACTACTACTACTACTACTACTACTACTACTACTACTACTACTACTACTACTACTACTACTACTACTACTACTACTACTACTGTGTGAATGAAACAAAACTCCAGGTCTGTTTTTGATGACAAAATTATAACATAGATCAGAAAAAAATTGCATAATATGGGCCCTTTAAACAGTGCCAAGTATAAGTATACCTGGAATCAATCAATCGAAATTACTGTCAAAACTAGATACTCATTTGAACAAGTGTCAAAAAATTTTTCAAAAAAATTCCTAAAATCTTGACAGAATTAGACCTTTGTTAGTTAAAGGTAATTTAACAAGTGCTGTTCCATATCAGAACTAGATTTTTTTTTTAAATAAAGAAACTACTATTATGTTATGCTGAAAATCATGCATTGTCTAATAAGGAGGCTTGTTTTGTTAATTATCACTGTAGTAGCAGTATAGGTATCAAGTATTAATTATTTTCCTTATCAAAATAAAGTCTGAAAATGTAGTTTTGATTTGACAATTCTTATACTTCTGTCAGATAAATTCCATCTTATAATACATTCATTTACTTACAATATTCCATTTGTTTACATTACGATAATAGTAAACTCAATTTATTATAGTATTCTGTAATGACCGTGAAGTACGGGAGGGAGGCAAAGCTCAGCCAACACTACTGTATATAACAGTAAAGTCTGCTTATTTTAGTCAAACATTTGTGAGTGAATCAGAGCAGGAGCAGATCCCAGGACCAGCGGCAGAATAAAAGAATATATCTGTCCTGGGTCAGTGTTCTAATATTAGCACAGGGGACACAGTGACACAGGTGTAATGGACCATAGAGTCTGTGTGAAGAGAGACGCTCACATTGTGCTGCTTTCAAATGACATCACAACATTATATCCAACAGTCTTGTTTAATACAGACAGAGGGAGCTAAAATGATTACGGAGCATTAGCCAGCAGTTTTTCAGTTAGTCACTCTGAGTCTTTGTTGGAAATTGAACACCTGAACAGGACCATGAACGCTCGTATTGATCACACGCTCCTGAAAATGTGATGTTTCATGTGTGTTTTTTCTTGAGTTTTCAGAAGTTTAAAACATTTTTATCTGTGTTCACTTATGTGTGCATTGTGTCACCATGGTAACTGCTGAACATTCCTCCAATAACGATACATGTATGTGATGTCATTGCAAAGTATGAATTGTGCATAATAAAGAATCCGTGTATCATTCGTTCATCCATTTTTCAATATAAAACCAAAAATAAGAAAATGAAAAAACAACTGTTTTCTTCATTATTTGTCTCCAAAACCAAAATGAATAAACAGATAGTGATTCGTTTTTTCAGTTTTCGATTTTGTGTTTAAATGAACAATGGAAAAAACTAATTACGACCATTACCCGTTTACGTGACTTCCGTGACTGCGATGCCAGACTTTTGCACTGCATACGGACTGAACCAGGACTGATCCAGGTCCAGGACCAGACCAGGAACAGAGCGGACTCCGAGCTTTGACTCCGAACCTCAGCTTTGAGCTCCGGCCCTGCCATGGGTTTTGAGCCGGTCCCGGTCTGGTCCCAGTCTGGTCTCGGTCTCAGTCCCGGCCTGGTCCTGGTCTGGTCTCCGTCTCAGTCCTGGTCTCTGACTAGATCTGGTCCCAGTATGGTCTCGGTCTCAGTCCCGCTCTGGTCCCGCTCTGGTCCCGCTCTGGTCCCGCTCTGGTCCCGCTCTGGTCCCGCTCTGGTCTGATCTCAGTCTCATTCTGGTCCCGTTCTGGTCTCAGTCTCATTCTGGTCCCGTTCTGGTCTCAGTCTCATTCTGGTCCCGTTCTGGTCTCAGTCTCATTCTGGTCCCGGTCTCAGTCCCGGTCTTGTGTGCCGGTCTGGTCTGGTCCGCATGCAGTGCAAAAGTCCGGCATCGCAGTCACGGAAGTCACGGAAACGGGAAACGGTTATCAGTTTTTTTCCATTTTTCATTTAAACACAAAATCGAAAACTGAAAAAAAAAAAAAACAAATCGTTATCCATTTTTTCATTTTGGTTTTGGAGACAAATAATGAAGAAATCAGTTGTTTTTTTCGTTTTCTTATTTTTGGTTTTGTATTGAAAAACGAATGAACAATTGGCACACTGATTATAAAAGGTCCACTTAGTAACTTTTCTTATCTATCTTGCATAAACTCCTCAAAAATACTGTGAAAAACATTTACTTTCTCCATAGAGTTAGAAAATAAAATGCTATGGAAAGCAATAACATCTCCTTGTCATTTTGTCATTTTAGCTTGATATACAAAAGATTAAAGTCTAAAGCTGACATCTTCAGAGTAAAGCTCATGAGCTGTTGAAGGTCATCCTGAAAAAATGTGTTTTTAAGAGGGTTTTAAAGTGAGGTAGGGAGGAACATGATCTCAGATGAAGAGGGAGGGCATTCCAAAGTTTAGGGGCCTCCACAGAGAACGCTCGACCTCCACTGGTTTTGAGGTGGAATGATGGGACGGACTAGTCAGGCTGGTGCCACCTACTTCCAATTTCATTTCTCTCCAGGAAGATTGGAATACACTAGATGGTTTGGAAGAACCCCAGAAGTTGTAGACCACACACTGGCCAATCAGCGAAGAACTGAACCAACCCGAGTTGAGATAGCAGACTGCATACGCTGGACTCCCTTTGTCATATACAAACTTTGCACGTTCACCTCGCAGAAACAGAAATCACTGATAGATGTTCACTTTCTGCTTTGTTTGCTGTTGTGCCGGCAATTACTTGGACACCACTGAGCGTTTCGGTGCATTACATATGTCACGACCAAATAGCAGCGATTGGTTAAATAAAAAATGTTCCCACCTACCATCGAGCGAAGGAATTCTAATGCTGCGAGGTCAGACGGTTTCGACGAAGTGAAACCGGTTGATGAATCAGGCTAGGGACGGACAGTAGGTTGAGAAAGTTTGACCTGAGAGACTGTGGGGCAGTGTGTGGGGTTAAAAGATGAGTGATGTACTGTGGCACAAGTCAACTGAGTGGTTTAAAAACAAATAATAAAATTTTAAAATCAATTCTGTAACCAGCGGAGTTGGGCTTTAATGGGGTGTAACATAGTCTCTCTTTTGGGACCCAGTTGCAGTAGTCCAGTCTATTACCATATTTTCCACAGTATTAGGCGCTCTGGATTATAAGACACACTGTCATTAAATGGTCTATTTTCAAACTTTTTTCACAAATAAACGGCACCGGACTTTAAAAAAAACACAACAGTTGGATGGGTGAGTGGTTTTGTTTGTTTGTGGTGTTCACGGTGACTCTGGGCTTTGTTCAGTTGTGGTGTGTAGGGAGGGTGCTGTCTGGGACCAACGGATTGTCGGCGTGTTCGCAGTGACTCAGTTGTTCAGTTTTGTCTCGAAGTGGCACATTGCACTCGCTTTTTCGGTTCGTTCCTCCGTTCCGTTCCTCGTCGGCGTGGAGTGATGAGTGTGTCGGTGGGTGTGTTCCGCTGTGCGATCGCTGTCTGCGTGCGCCGCTGGTGGTGCGGCTTTGTAGCTTACTGAAGTCATGCTGGGATTGCTCTGGATTGTGGGGCGCGCGGTCGTTTTTTGATGGGGTTAGAGGCTTAAGNCTGATGACGTTTGGGGCAATCGTAGTGCGCTCAGTCGAATTCAAATGGGGAGTACTGAGTCTAGTGATGGTAGTGAGGTGACAAGTTCTCCAAAAGAGCAAAGCGAAAAACCGAAAAGTAACAAAGAAAAGCATTTGAGTTTTCTAACTTTAGGGACTTTGAAGGAAGTACCATCTGATCCTTCTCCATCTTTAACTACTACGACAACTACGCACTCAATGCCAGCAGAAGTCAGCTCTCCCCAGTCTACCGAAGTGGACGAATCACTGTCTATGTCTTTTGAGCAAGGTCCAAGCCAGAAAGAGGGAGATGAATCAGTAACGCATCACTCAAACTCAAACGGCAGCCATTATGTTGGTTTGTCCTTACAGATGAAGAAACCTCCACGATCTTTAGGTTCAGAAATGTCCCGCCCACCGAATTCACTCCACTTAGAGACATCGCCCCATGATGTTGACTTGTGTTTAGTTTCACCTTGCGAGTTTAAGCATTTCAAAGCTCCGGACTCCGCCTCCAATAGTGACCAATCCAAGGGTGGTAGCAATCAACATAGCAACAACAATAACCACAAAGATGCCTCCCCAAGTGAATCAAATGCCCCAGTTGGAACAGAGGACTGCCCCTCAACAACAGCAGATGCAGTTTTGGATTCAGATGAAGAAGATTCCTGTAGTGAACCATCAAACTCTCCACGGGATATTCGCCCTGGGCAGTCCCTCCCCCCAGACCCCCTCCCCGCCCCATTGAGGGATAGTCCACCTTTGCCCCCCCACCCCGAAACCACCATGCCCATTCCACAGTCTGAGTCAGATGCCCAGGCAAAGAGAGCCAAAGCGGGAAGCATCAAAGGGAAGAAGTCCGCAGTAAGTGTTCAAAATAGAGGTCTGTCTCTGTCTCAGGAAAATATCAGATTCTGGTAATTTTTTCTGGTCTGCAGGTGATTGAGGGCTTGCAGAGGTCCAGTTCAGGGAAAAAACAAAACCAAAGTGGAGCAAAAGGGTCAAAGGAGAATCTCTCTTCTGCTCGAACCTCATCCTCCAGCCCCAAAACCACAGCCAAATCTTCACCCAATCCAGGTCGGAAATCTCATTCCATATTTACGTTTTGTATTACATACACACACAAGCAAAACAGTTAACCTGTCTGAAAAAGTTAATTTTGTACAATAAATAGTGGTAGCTCATTGCATACAAATTCATTATAAAATAATTTATAACAGATTATTGATAAATAGTAGCTTCCACCTACACATAACAGCATGTAAATAGACAGAATTGGTCAACATATATGTTGTATATTAACAGTAAGCTAAAAGATTATTATTAATAGTGAAATACGCTGTAGGAAAAAAAACATTATAGGTTTATATTACCATGTCTTCCCTTCCCTTGTCTTTGTTGTTGCAGTTCCAAAGCCTGCCTCCGGGGGTGATGTGAGCGTGTATGTGGACCTGGCTTATATCCCGTCTGGACCGTCCACCTCTACGGTCTCTGTGGACTTCTTCAGGTGTGTGCGCTCCTCCTGTTACATCATCAGCGGAGATGCACACGAGAGGGAGGAGCTAATGAGGCAAACGCTTGACGCTTTACTGGACGGAAAAAGCTCCTGGTCTGACGCTATGCAGGTAATGATATAATATGTTGTAAATTAAAACTAACTAAAGTAAGTATAGTAATGTTTATGTTGGCTGGACTGAAAAGGAGTGAAGGATCACGGTCTATATAGTCTCTTACTTTTCACTGCAGTGACAAAGCAATGTACTTCAGGTCCAACGGCGAACTATTTTTACGGTTACCAAATTTTTTTAACTCATGATAATATTTTGTCACTACTGGAACATCATTTTATAGCTAGAAAACAAATTTACCAATACATGTATACATATAACACTATATATTTCAACCCTACTGGGCATATTAAATTATAAACACCCTATATCATAATCTGAATCTGAAATCTTAGAAACAAGGTTTACATGGAATAATTTCTGAAAAAAACAACAACAAAAAAAACTACTTGATTCAATGACTGCCGGTCACTTATTATTATTAGCAATGTCTTCCATTGGACAATTAAAGTAAATTTAAGATTTCTTGTCTATCCTTTTTGTTTTGCTCATGACAGTCAAAATTAACATTAATAATATCACAGCATTTTGACATTATCACCCTCCTCACTCTTTAACTGCTGCACTGAGCCTCGTCATTTTGGTCATAAAATGTTCATATTAACTTGATCCTGGTGTTTTTATTCCATTATTATGTAAATTCCTACCACTAATATGTATTATGTAAATTCCTATCCCTAATATGGAACTCAGCTCCAAATTCGCCTGTATAACTCCCTTAGTCCACTTCTTTTTACAGTCAGTGCTTCGTAGTAGAATAGTATAATCAATCATTTATACCAGACAACAGGTAAGAGATATTTGTTGTATGTACCATGACCTGTTTCAATCTATTCTCTGATATAGATTTTGTGTATTTTTTCAGGTGACAGTGATCCCCACCTTTGAGTCAGGCTCCATGCAGGAGTGGTACCAGCAGACTCTGGACCGACAGAGGGACCTGAACATCACCGTCTTGGGCTCCAACAGCACCGTGGCCATGCAGGATGAGACCTTCCCTGCCTGCAAGATCGAATTCTGAGTAGAGTGGCATTATACGAAAAAAGTTGAGATTTTCGATAACTATTAAATACATTTAGGCTCTTCAGTCAATAAAAAATATCAGGACAGATTCTCACATATAACTTTTTTATTAGGCTACAACCATAGACTGTATATATAAATGGACACATCCATCGACTCCAATTGGCTCTAGTTGACTTTACATTGTAAAATTATCACACCTCGTCATTTTGGTCTAAAAATGTTTGTATTAACCTGCTCTACATGATCTTGGTGCTTTTATTTTGCTATTTATTTATTTTATTTATGTAAATAAATTCCTATTCCTAATATGGAACGTGGCTTCAATTTGCACTTGTAAATGTCAACCTCATGTGACTAGAGCACGGGTGACGTCACACTCCCTTAGTTCAATTCTTTATACAGTCTATGGTTACAACACATAAGTTAACCTTTCTCAGAGCAGGCTAAGGCTTTATCCTGAATCTCTTTTCCTTTTGATGTGATTCCTATTAAAAACATTGATATTTGGACTATACTGAAAGTACCTGAATGTGAATAGACTCAACAACCTTGGCACTTCTGGACTGTGTTTGCCAATATATCCTCCCACCTACACCCACTTTGTTACAGAATGCATCTCTATGGGGAGAAATCCTTAGACTTGTTGTTATGAGAAAAACAGTGCAGTAAAAGAAGCATGTGCATAACAGACTTGAACAGGCAATGTAATTATATAATTAAAGCGCAAGCGGCGTCGAACGGCCCTCGCCGCCGCGCCCGTGACCCGCGCCCCGGAACGCCGCGCCCGCGAACGCCGTGCCACAAATAGTGTGCCCCCAACACCATACCGTAAACGCCGTGTCCAAACTCTGTGCTGCAAATGGCAATGAATAGTACGCTTTAGTGTTCTTGCACCCCTACGGCCAACCTTGAAAAATTCCTATGTCAGCAATATATGTTTTTTCTTATAGTCATTAATAGAATTTAATTCCCAAATTTGGTGCAGATCCGCATATTGACATTCATGTGTATGGTGGGCGCTATAGTGTTCACTTTTCTTATGTTTATAGTGTATTAATCAGGTGAGATCACATTAGGATAAATTTCAGCATGATGGGACTAAGCATGTGCGTGTAATATATTTTTTTATTTTGGGAGGAGTTTTAGCGCCCCTGCTGGCAACGTAAAAATTCCATTTCATAATATACTTTTTGCTTGGAATATAACATAGAATTTAATCCCAAATTTGGTGCAGATTATAATGTTGAGGTTTCATTCTATGGTAGGGGCGCTTAGTGGTTTTCATATGTTTTATAGTGTATTTATTCAGACTGAGATACACATTAAGTGATTCACATTTAGCACGATCGACTAAGTATGTGCGAACAGGAGCAAATAATGTCACTTGAAATTCGCAAAACTGTTGACCATTATTTTGCAGCTTCGCCGCACGAAACCGTGACAGTTTTCTTGAATAATGAATGTGTGTCCCGAATTTGTGGCTCTACACAAAGATGACGGACGTATCCCATAGGCGCCAAATTTTTGAGTCTTTGCGCCCTGCTGGCCAACAGTAAAATGGTATCATTCCATAATATAATTTTTTTGCTGAATCAGGATAGAATTTAATTCCCAAATTTGTGCAGAGCCCACAATGTTGACGTTCATGTCTTGGTAGGGGCGCTATAGGTCACTTTTCATATGTTTTTTAGTGTATTTATCAGACGAGATCACACATTAGTGATTCAAATTTCAGCATGATCGGACTAAGCATGTGCGTGAATTAAGAGCAAAAACAATATATCCGAAAAGTTTAGAACAACATATTATACGTTTTTTGAAAGCTCTCGACCTTCCCCACGTCACCGTGGGGTCATTGGTGAGTGACGGGCACGAGGCGCTCGTCTCGACCATCTCGTCGAGGTCACCCATCGCCTTCCATTGACTTCATTCATTTTAGCAGTAGTAAATATGAGCCAGGCCTTGGGCGTGGGTTACTGGGATACTGCTGTTCGTGCCGGGGGCGACCGTGGACATAGTTGCATGTCGTCTTGTCGCATTCGGACATGCGCACGTCGCTCCCCATTCGCTCCGCTGAGCGGAAGCAATAGGCCCTACGCCCAGTCGGGGCTCGGGCCTAATAATAATAATAATAATTCGAGCAAAAACAATATATCCGAAAAGTTTAGAACAACATATTATACGTTTTTTGAAAGCTCTCGACCTTCCCCACGTCACCGTGGGGTCATTGGTGAGTGACGGGCACTGACGCGCTCGTCATTCGCCATCTCGTCGAGGTCACCCATCGCCTTCCATTGACTTCCATTCATTTTAGCAGTAGTAAATATGAGCCAGGCCTTGGGCGTGGGTTACTGGGATACTGCTGTTCGTGCCGGGGCGACCGTGGACATAGTTGCATGTCGTCTTGTCGCATTCGGACATGCGCACGTCCCTTCCCATTCGCTCCGCTGAGCGGAAGCAATAGGCCCTACGCCCTGTCGGGGCTCGGGCCTAAATAATAAGAAAGGCCTTCGAACAATGTTCCGCGCCCCTATCGGGCCTCGCGCATTGCCGTGATGGCGAGGGTCCCGGTCACACGCAAGTCACGTGCGCCGCCACATTTTTCGGCCACGGGTACTGTGCGAAACTACCTTCGCCGGCCTGTCGGCGCTCGGGCCTAATCAAAGAAAGTCCATGCGAGAACAATGTCCGTTTTTTGGCCGACAAACTATACGTTTTCGGACATAAAATTTACTTGGCGAGGGTCCCTGGTCACAAGTCACGTCGCCTTTCCATTTTGGTAGGGGGCGCTATAGTGTTCGCCGGCCTTCTTTAAGTTTTATATAATTATTAGTATAAAGCTAGAACAACATATTATACATTTTTCAAATTTCCCCAGCATCATGGGAGTAACGGGCCTGTGCGTCGTCATTATGTACCCATTTTTTCTTTCATTTTAGAGTAGATATGAGCCAGGCTTGGGCGTGGTTACTGGGATACTGCTTTTCGTGCGATATTATTGCATGTCGTTTGTCGCATTCGGACATGCGCACGTCCCTTCCCATTCGCTCTGCTGAGCGGAAGCAATAGGCCCTACGCCCTGTCGGGGCTTGGGCCTAATAATTAAAGCCGCAAGCGGCGTCAAACGGCCTCGCCGCCGGCCCGATGCCGTGCCGAAAGGTGCCGCAAACAACCAAAGCCGTCCGCAATTGTCCGCAATGAAATACTAGTGCCTTAATTTCTTGCCCCCTACGCCAGTGAAAAATCATGTCCTAATTTTTTTTTTTGCATAGATTTATTCCCAAATTTGGTGCAGATCCGACAATGTTGATGTTTCATGTCTATGGTAGGGGGCGCTATAGTGTTTTTTCATATGTTTTATAGTGTATTATATTCAGACTGAGATCACACATTAGTGATTCAAATTTCAGCACGATCGGACTAAGTCTGTGTGAACAGGAGCAAATAATGTCACCTTGAAATTCGCCAAAACTTTGACCAAATTTTGCAGCTTCGCCGCACGTAAACCGTGACAGGCCCTACGCCCTGTCGGGGCTCGGGCCTAATAATAAAACATTACAAAACATACAGAACTATTTTGTCTTTAGTACTCTAAACTCATGACAAAAAGAATCTGGTTTATGTCCATTGTTTCATATGTATCTCTTGTGCCATCTCTCACCACATGACTCAAGAATGCAGCCCGTGAAACATGTCAGATATTTTGCTCTTCAATGTTCTCATATATTATAAAGGGATATACAGTGACTACTGTTAGCGTGTTCTATCAGAGGAAATGATGACGGGAATCGATCGATTAAAATCACAGAATTTATTCCCTATTCAATACAATTCTAATAGACCCCGAGATACTTGAACTCCTCCACTTGAGACAGGGACTTTCCACCCACCCGGAGACGACAAGACACATTTTTCAGGTTGAGAACCATGGCCTTGGAAGAGCTGATCTTCATCCCAGCAGCTTCAACTCGGCTGCAAACCTCCCCAGTGCACATTGCAGGTCCTGGTTCGATGAAGCCAACAGGACAACATCATCTGCAAACAGCAGAGATGAGATCCTGTGGTCCCCAAACCGGACCCTCCGGCCCCTGACTGCGCCTAGAAATTCTGTCAATTAAAACAATGAACAATGAACAGAACCGGTGACAGGTGCAGCCCTGGCGGAATCCAACATGCACCGGGAACAGGTCTGACTTACTGCCGGCACATCTCCTGCTCGGGTCATACAGGGACCGGACAGCCCTTAGCAAAGGGCCCCGAACCCCATACTCCCAGAGCACCCCCCACAGGACACCACGAGGGACATGGTCGAATGCCTTCTCCAGATCCACAAAGCACATGTGGACTGGTTGGGCAAACTCCCACGAACCTCAAGCACCTGATGGAGAGTGTAGAGCTGGTCCAGTGTCCACGGAGGAGCTGGAGGAAGTGTCCAGGGTGAAGGAAGTCTGGGAGTCCCTGCTTAGACTGATGCCCCCATGACCCGATCCTGGATAAGAGGAAGAAAATGGATGGATCATTTTCCATACAAAAGAAAATAACAAAAAATGAATCAATAATACATCTTCGAAATGTATCACAAAAACAAAATATCTTCAAACTGAAGTCTCTTTGCTGGAAAAAAAAAACATTAGCAGTTTGGATCTGTGTTTTTTTATTGCTTTCCTGGAACCTTGTCTCAACCTTAAAAAAAACATCTTAAAAATGTGTTGTTGGTGTTTTTACAGACGTGCCCGTCTCTCACCCACATCTATCTAAGAATGCATCTGCCAGAACAGAACAGAACTGTAAAACAAGTAATCTGATCTTGATTAACACAACGGACTGTCGTGTGACCACAAGTGCTCCAGTTTCGGTCTGGAGTACATGCTTCTGTTGTAGCTACAGTAAAACTACAGTAAACAATCATATGAGTCTGAAATAACCCAAGGGCAAATTCATCTTTAATCTTCTCAGAGATCCACCTGTTGTTGTGTTACAGATTCACAACATTCTATTGGCCTGAAAGTCATTATTTTTCTGAATCGTATCGAATCATTTTGCAATATATCATATCAAATCGTATCGTATCAAAAGTGCACTGTATCGAGATACGTATCGTATCGGGGCCTGCATATCGAAGTACATATCGTATCGGCAACTTCTTGGTGATACCCAGCCCTAGCAAAGACATCTCGGAAAATGGACTCAAAGTGTTTTAATGATGGAATTAAAATGAGAGAGGAGCCACAGCTCGAACCCGGAGAGTTTGATTTGGGTCTCGGAACTTTTTCGCTCATTCTGGTCTGAGGAGCGAGAGGAAAGACACGACTCCTCCTCTCCCAGTCGCTCTGTGGACAGAGAGGAAGAGGATATGGACTCCAGGGCCTGGTTAATGTTTCTGAATGTGAATGAAATTTCCTGACCTCTTCTCGATGTCTGGTAGTATGTGCAGAGCTTAAGTTCCGCTGTGCGTAAAAGTGAAGCTGTAACAGAACTCTTCACATGTAGCCAAGAAGAAATGATAAAATTTGTGTTGAGGTGTTTGCAGTTTGACAGTGAGCGAGCGACGAATGAATGAAGAGAGAGAGAGAGAGACAGACGTGATGAGGAGCGAACAGACAAAACTCACTGAAAACCAGTTCATCTTCATTCTTCAAAAAAAATAAAAATAAATAAATAAAAAGTGTAATTAACCAAATATTTCACGACAT